ACTATAGATACATATCGTTTAATAGGTGGATTAAATTTAAATACATTAACTAAATTTAATATTAAATTTAAAGATTTTTTATTTTTATATATATTTAGATATAGAGCATATATAATTTTAAAACAATTTAAACAACCAGATTGGTGTTTTTTTGAAATTCCTGATATTTCATATGATGATATTTCTTATTATTCTATTCCTTCTAATTATAATTCAAATAAAATAATTACAAATATGTTTAATTCAATTTTAGATAAAATAGGATTAAATAATCAAGAAAATAAAATTATTTCTAAGTTAGCCGTTGATGTAGTATTAGATAGTGTATCTATAGTAGATACAATTACTAATTTTTTACTTAAAATTGGTATAATTTTTATGCCTTTTTTCGAAGCTATAAAATACTTTCCTTCTTTAGTATTTATATATATAGGTACCATTGTATCTTTAGAAGATAATTTTTTTGCTACTTTAAATTCTACAATATTTAGTGGTGGTTCTTTTTGTTTTATAGCAAAAAATATTAAATGTAATATTAATTTATCTACTTATTTTAGAACTCAATCTGAAGATTTTGCTCAATTTGAAAGAACATTATTAATAGTAAATGCTTTTGCTACAGTAATATATACAGAAGGTTGCTCTGCTCCTATTTTTTTAGAATCTCAATTACATGTTGCATTAGTTGAACTTTTAGTAAAAGAAAAAGGAATACTAAATTATTCTACTGTACAAAATTGGTACCATGGAGATCAATCCGGAGAAGGTGGTTTATATAATTTTACAACAAAACGTGGTTGGTGTTTTAAAAAAGCTATTTTAGATTGGGTTCAAATAGAAATGGGATCTGCTATTACATGAAAATATCCTTCTACATATTTAATAGGAGATTTTTCTTCAAGTAATTTTTTTTCTTTATCTTTAATTTCTGAAATGCAAATAGCAGATACAGGAAATAAAATGTTACATATTGGATCTTATACTAAAAGTCGTGTTTATTCAAAAAGTATTTCATTAAATAATTCAAGTTATGCATATAGAGGATTAGTAAAAATTTTTAAAAATGCTAAATATACATATAATTATACAGAATGTAATTCATTATTATTAGGAGATAATACATTTACAATAACTATACCTTATACAATTGTAAATAATTATTCTACTTTTATAAATCAAGAAGCTAGTATTTCTAAATTAGAATCAGATTTTATTTTCTTTTTATTACAAAGAGGAATTAATCTTAAAATAGCATTAACTTTATTAATTTATGGTTTTTGTCAAAATATTTGTTCTAAATTACCTTTAGAATTAGAATTAGAAGTACCTTTATTAATTTTAATGCGTACTCAGTCTAATTTTTAATTTATATAAATTAAAAATAATTATTAATTAATAATATTTTATTATTTTATATGATTTTTTTATTAAAAAATTTTATTACATTAAAAACATTAAAAACTTTTTATTTAGAATATTATAAAACTTTAATATATTATTTAATATCTTCTATTAAAAATTATTTAGGAGATGAATTTTATATTTATTTTAATAAATGTAAATATAATATTTATATTTTAAATGATTTATTATTTTTTAAAACAACTAATTTAACTAGTCAAAATATAGATATTATACAAAATTTTAATTCTAAAATTTTAATATTTTTACCTTTAAAAATATATAATTTAAATAGAAATAAGTATAAACTTATTTATTATTTAATAGGTGAGGTACCAAAATATACTGCTGAAAAAAATTTAATTATAAATGGATTAAAAAAAACATTTATTTCTAAATTAATGTTTAATTATATTGGTATATTTTTTAATAGTTTCATTAAAAATTCTAATTTTATTATATATGCAAAAATAATATTTAATAAAATATTTATTATTAACTTAGTATTAGAAAAAGATCAATGTTTTTGTATTATTAATAATTATAAAATTAATTTAATTTCTTTTTTATATTTATTAGGTATTTCTATACAAGATATTCTTATCTATTCACGTTATAATAAATCTTTCTATTTAAAAAAATTATTGTTAAATTCTCAGATAGATACAAATATTATTAACTCAGAATTATATTCTTTTATTTCCTTTTTTTTTAATATATCTTTTAAATTAAATACATATTCTATTTTTGGAAATATTTTAAATAAAAATTATATACAGATAAATAATTTTTTTTCTAATATAAAAAATTTTATAGTATTAGATTTTATTTCTATATTAGATATATTATTAGATATTAAATATAATAAAAAAACTTTATCAGAAATAGATAAAGTAGAATTTCGTTCAATTTCTACTTTAGGTAATTATTTTTCAACTCAATATTCTTATTTTTTAAATAAATTTTCAAAATTATTACGTAATGATATATATAAATATATACATACTAATTTAAATAGAAATAATACTACTAATTATTTTAAATCTAATATATACTTTAATTTAAAAGAATATTTAACAATTAATCCATTAATACAATATTTAGAACAAATTAATAGTTTTTCTGAAATTATACATAAAAATAGAGTTACTAATTATAATTCTAAATTACAACAAAATTTACAAGTAAGAAATATTAATTTAAATCAAATAGGTTCTTTATGTCTAATAGATACTACAGAGGGGATAAATTGTGGATTAGTTATAAGTTTTACTAAAAATATTAAGCTTGAAAAAAAAAATAATATTCAATTTCCATATCAATCTATAAATAATATAAAAACAAAAAATTTTATTACGTTTATAAATTCATTTAATCGCCAAACATATATTGTTTTATTTAATAATTATTATTTAAGAAAAAATAAAATTTTTAATTTATTTTATTTAGGACTTAGTAAAAATTCATTTAAAATTAAAAATATTTTTATAAAAAATATTATATATATAAAACCTATGGATCTTTTTTCATATGCTGAAAATTTAATTCCTTTTTTATTTTATAATGATCCTGCAAGAGGATTAATGGGTGCAAAAATGCAATCACAAATTGTACCTACATTAAAACATAAAAAATCAATTATAATTACTGGATTTGAAAAAAATCTATTAAATTATAATACTTTAAGTATAAAAGCATATCAAGAAGGAATTGTTATTTATGTTTCTTCATATAAAATAATTATTAGAGATATATACAATAGAAAAATTATATATTATTTAGATAAATATAAACGTAGTAATTATTTTACTATATTACATTCTAAGCCACATGTATGGCAAGGAGAAAGAGTTTTTTGTGGCCAACCTCTTAGTTCTACACAAGATATATTATATTCTGAATTTACAGCTGGAAATAATTTATTAGTTTCTTATGGAAATTTTTTTGGATATAATTTTGAAGATGCTATAGTTATAAATAAAAAAATAGTATATTCACAATTATTTACTTCTCTTCATTTTAAAATATATGAAGTTATGTTTACTTGTATAGATAGAGAAACATTTGAAATTTCTAGTATTAATATACCTAAAAAAAGTTTTTTTAGTAAAAGAAATTTAGATTTTTTTGGAATTATAAAAGAAGGATCAAAAGTATTAAATAATGATATTTTAGTATCTAAATTACTTATACGTAATATAAATATATATAATTTACCTTTATTTAATTTAATTTCTATTTTATTTGGACAACATTTAAGAAATATTAAAAATAAATCAACAATAGTTTCTTTTGGAAATTCAGGCAGAGTTATTAAAACTGAAATATTTTCTTCTCCATCTAATTTTAATTCTTATACAGGATTTTATTTAAAATGTAGAATATATATATGTAATCAAAGAATATTATCAGTAGGTGATAAATTATGTGGTCGTCATGGAAATAAAGGAGTAGTAGCATATATTTCAGCTACAAATAATTTACCATATACTACTGGATTAATTCCAGATATTATAACTGATGCTTTAGGAATTCCTTCAAGAATGAATATTGGTCAAGTTTTTGAAAATTTATTTGGATTAGGATGCTTTTTTACAAATACACGAATGTATATTAGTAATACATTTAATTTACCTAAATTTTATATAAAAACATTATTGTATAATTATTTAAATAAATTAAAAGAAAAAACTGGTAATTTATTTTTATATAATTCATATATTCCAGGACAAATATTATTAAGAGATGGAAGAACAGGATATAAATTATTAGAATCGTCTTTTTTAGGAGTTTCTAAATATTCTAAATTAATACATATGGTAAAAGATAAAATACATTATAGAACTGTAGGTCCTTATACTGAATTAATGCAACAACCTGTTAAAGGTAGAAAAAAAATAGGAGGACAAAGATTTGGAGAGATGGAAATATGAGCTATGGAAGCTTATGGCAGTTCATATAATTTAAGAGAAATTTTAAATTATAAATCAGATGATATTTGTGCTAGATCTTCATTATTATCTAATATAACTAATAATACTAACTTAGAAAATATTACTATACCTGAATCTTTTCGTACTCTTATTAGAGAAATTCATAGTATGAATTTAAATATTGAAGCTTTTACTAGTATAGATCAATTAGAAGGACAAACATTATCTGTTAATATAAATTTTTAGAATAAAAATTTTATTATTTATAAAATATATGAATAATTATAATTCTTTAAATAATTTAAAGTCTAATATAGGATTTAAAATTTCTATAGCCTCACCTTTAAATATTATTAAATGATCTTGGAGAAAAATTAATAATATAATAATATTAGGTCAAATATCTGAACCTTATACTATTGATTTTAAAACAGGAACCCCTAAATTAAATGGATTATTTTGTGAAAAAATATTTGGTCCTTTAATTTCTTGGCAATGTAAATGTGGAATATTTAAAAATATAGATCCAATAAAATATACTTATATATGTCCTATATGTGGGTATGAAAATACAAATTCTCAAGTAAGAAGATATAGAATGGGATATATATATTTATATACTCCTGTAGTACATATATGATATTTATATGAATTATTACCTTATATATTAAATTTACCAGTTAATATGTTAGAATATTTATTATATTATACTTTTTTTTTAGAACATAATAAAAAAATAAATTTTTTAAAAAAAATAACAATAACTCAATTTATTTTTGCATCTAATTATATTCAATATTTATTACAACATTTTAATATTTTAAATAAACTTTTAAAAATAAAATCATTATTATATAATACTAATAATCTATTAAAAAAAAAATATATTATAAAAACTATAAATTTATTAAATTTATGTTTATTAAATAATATACATCCACAATGAATTATGTTAGATGTAATCCCAGTATTACCCGCAGGATTACGACCTTTAATATATTTAAATACTATTAATTTTGTTTCATCTCCTTTAAATGAAATTTATAGGACTATTATTATTATAAATAATAAACTTAAACGATGGCAAATGTTACGTCGTAAATTTCCTATTTCTTTTGAAATAATAGAAAAACGTAATTTACAACAAACTATAGATATGTTAATAGAAAAAAATAATTCAAAAAAAAATATTAATTCATTATCTTCGCATTTACAAGGGAAATTTAATTATTTTAGACAATATATATTAGGAAAAAGAATTGATTTTTCTGGAAGGTCTGTTATAGTTTCTGGTCCTTCATTAATTTTTAATAAAATAGGAATTTCAACTAATTTAAGTATTGAGCTTTTTAAACCTATCTTATTAAATATTTTAAAAAAAAATAAATATATTAATACTTTATTACGTGCATCTTATTATATTGAATATAGTCCTTTAATTTTAAAAAGACTTTTAAAATATATATTTTTAAAAGAAATTATTATGTTTAATAGAGCCCCTACATTACATAGAATGAATATACAAACATTTAAACCTTTTTTAATAGAAAATGAAATAATAAAGTTATTTCCTATTGCTTGTTCTGGATTTAATGCGGATTTTGATGGGGATCAAATGGGTATTTTTTTAATTTTATCTGATGCAGCAAAAAAAGAAGCAAAAAAAAATATAATTTTTGATAAAAATTTATTCGCACCTTCTTCTAAAAAAAATATTTTTAAATATTCTCAAAATATTATTTTAGGTATTAATACATTAGTATCTTTTAAAGGATATAATTATAAAAATTTAATTTTTAGTAATATTGAAGATATATTAAATGCATATAACCATTCTTTAATAAAAATAAATACAATTTTTTTAGTTAGAATAAATTTTCATTTTTATTTTAATAAAAATATTTATAAAAAATATATTATAACCTCTTTAGGTAGACTTTTATTACAAAAATTAATATAATTAATTATAAAAAATAATAATGTTAAATATTACTTGTTTTAATTTAGGACCTAAATTTTTTAATTTTGAACAACGTTTAGTACAAAAATTATTATATTTTAATATAACTAATTATATTAAAGAACTTATGTTTTTAGGATTTGAATATTCATTTTATTTTCCTTTAATTTTAACTTTAGAAAGTACCAAAGGTTTTTTTTTTACATCTCCATTATTACGATATAATGAACTTTTAAAATTAAATTATAATATAAAAGAATATAATATATCTTATTCTATACAAAAAAATATAAATTCTTATATACCTTTTTTAAATTTAATAAATTCTTTTAATAATATTAATGCATTTTCTAGTTCATTACATCTTATGGCAAATACAGGGGCTAAAGCAAATTGAGCACAAATATGTCAATTAATTGGAGTTAGGGGTTATTTAGCAAATGCTACTGGAGAATTTTTTAAAATACCAGTATTAAATAGTTTTAATAAAGGATTAAATTTTTTTGAATATTTTATATCTTGTTACGGTGCACGAAAGGGAGTATTAGATACTGCATTAAAAACTGCAGATGCAGGATATTTAACACGTAGATTAGTTGAATCTATACAAGAATTAAATATTAAAGAATATAATTGTGGATCTAAAAATTCATTAGAATATGAATTTCAAATAAATAGTAAAGGTACTTTAATATTACCTTTTTTTTTATTACTTTCTGGTAAAGTATTACAAAAAAATTTAATTGAACCTACTACAAAAAAAATTATAGAATTTAAAAATAATTATATCTCAGATAATTTAATAAATAATTTATATATTAAATTTAATTCTTTACTTAAAATAAATACTTTTTCTATAAAAACATGTATTTCAGGTAGAACAATTTGTTCTAAATGTTTTGGTCATACAACTTTTAATACAAATAATTTAGGTAAAAGTATAGGAATTTTATCTAGTCAAGTTATAGGTGAGCCAGGAACTCAATTAACATTAAGAACTTTTCATACGGGGGGAGCATCTACTATTTTAAAATCTAATATATATATAAAAAATAAATATTTACTAATTAGTAAATATTTATTTAAAAATATTAAATATAAATTATGCAGTACATATTATAAATTATTTAATAAAACTAATAAAACAATTTTTTCTTTTATTTATCTTAAAAAATATTATTTTAGTTTAAATTCATTTTATTTAGTATATATATTAAAAAAATATAAATTTAATCAAATTATATCTATTAATAATAAATTATTATATTCTAAAAATAATATATATTTAAGCACACTAATTTTAACATATTTAACTATTAATAATATTTTTCAACGTAAACATTATAAAAATATAAATTTTTTCCATAATTATACAGGAGAATTTATATATAAAAATGTACTTCAATTAATTATTAAAAATAAATATTATAAATGAATAATTTTAAATTTAAATACATCTTTATTATTAAATAAATATTATTTAACTATAGATAATATAACTAAAGAAAAAATTATTTTTATTAAATCTATAAATCAAAGAACTATTAAATATTTTTTAATTAAATATAAAAGTTTTTTATATTCAAATAGAAAACTTAAAAGTATATATTCTTATTTACATAATATATATATATTAAATTTATTTTTTTCAATAAATATTTTTTCATATAATAAATATTCTATACTACCCTTTAATAAAATTATTTTAAATATAAATACCTATAAAATATTTAATACATCTATAATCTCACTAAAATATAAAAAAAATATTATAAATTAAATATGATATCAAAAATTTTTTATATTACTTCAAAAAATATTAAAATTATTAAAAATAATAATATTTTTCCTATATTAATTACTAATAATATATGTATATATACTTATTTTAAATATATAAAATTAATTAAATCAATTTTATCTCAATATAATTTAAATTATATAGAATCTTATAATATATATATAAAACAAAATAAAAAATTTAATTTAATTAATACTTATTTCCCTAAATTATATTTAATAGATAATATATTTTATAAAATTATATGTATTAAATATAATTTTTCAAAATTAAATTATTTATTCATAAAAAATATATTACTTCCTAAAAATTTAATAACTCAACTTATTCATAAACAATTTATAAATAATTACATTACTTTTTTATTAAATAATAAATCTTTAATAAAAAATTCTGTAAAAATATATTCTTTATATATAAATTATATATATATCACAACATATTATACTTATTGAAAAAATTTATTTTCTTATAAATATATATTTAACTTTTTAAAAGGAATATATTTATATAAAAAAAATATCTCTAACTTTAATGAGTCTATAAAAGATATTACATCTGGATTAATTTCTATAGAAATTATTTTTGAAGCAAAAGCACTTCCTAATATATATTTAATTCCATCTAAATTATCTATATTAAATAATTTATTTATTTCATATGAAGAAACTACATTAAATTATTTATGAAAATATAATTTATATACATTTTCTAATAAAAATTTATTATTTTTTACAGAAATAAATACAATATCTTTAAATAAAATATATGAACATAATACAGCTATATTATTACCAAATAATATTATTACTTCTGGAAATTATTCTATAAATATTTTATTATTAAAATTATTTTCATATAATTTAAATTTTTATAAACAGGATCATTCTATTACAATGTCACATATTTTTATATTTAATTTAATAATTGAATCTTTATTAAAACAATATTTTAAAAATGGAATAAATATACCAAGCATTCAATTTGAATTAATAGCAAAAAAAATGACTTCTTTTGTAAAAATAAATTATATTGGAGATAGTTCTTTATTAGAAAATGATATATTTGAGTATACTAAATTAAAAATTCTTAATTATACTTTATTTACATTAGGATATAAACAAATTTTATATATTCCTATTATTTTAGGAATTACTAAAAGTATTTTAGCTTGTTCTGGATTTTTTTTATCTATTAGTTTTCAAGAAATAATAAAATATTTAATAAAATTAAGTATAGAAGTTTCAACAGATTGGCTTAGTGATCTTAAATCTAATATAATTACAACAGATATAATTAAAACAGGATCTGGTTGGCAAAGACATTTTATTAAAATATAATCATATAAATATTATTAAAATAAATGTTAACTTTAAATATATTACATTTAATAAAAAATCAAATAATACCTATTAAATATAGTATAAATTTAAATTATAATAATAAATATTTTTATTTAAATTTAAATAAAAATATATTTGAAATACTTAATTTATTAAATTCATTAAGTATTGTATATTTATTTTTATATAAATATATTTCTTTAAAACAAAAAATTTTATTTACAACTAATTATGATCAATATATGTATTTATTAAAATCAATAGCAACTATATCTTCTAATTATCATATATACAATACTACATATTCTGAAATATTTTCTAATTGAATTTTTTTAAAAAAAAAATTAATTATATATAAATGGTTAAAATATTTTTTCTTAACAAATTTAGCTATTAAAAATAATTATAAAAATATATTTTCTATATATTATATTTTATATTTATTATATCTTAAATTAAAATTAAAATACCATGGTTTAAGAAATTTAAATATTTTTCCTAATACATTAATAATAATTATTTTATATAATAATACTTATTTAAAAAAAATTTTAAAATTTAAAAAAAATATAATATTAATTAATAATATTAAAAATAATAAATATATATCTAATAATATAATTAATTTAAATACTAATATTAATTTTAATACTATATTTTTTATAATAACAATAATAAATACTGCTATAATTCATGGTATGTTATATTAATTTTTTACTTATAAATTAATACCTTATTTTTTTAATAACCAATTAAAATTAATATTATGAAATATATTAGGTATTTTAGATTTTATACCTATATTAGTATATAATATAATATTATTTAATTTAGAAAAAATAAATGTAGAATTTAATTTTTTTTTTCTAATAGTATAAGATAATTTTAATGCTTTTAAAATTTGTTGTTTTTTATATTTTTTATTATTTGTATAAAATTTATTCATATTTTATCATTAAATTAATATTATTTTATTTAAAATATAAGATAAAGGAGAAAATGGGATTTGAACCCACGAAATTTTAAATTTTTCTGATTTCAAGTCAGATGCATTAAACCACTCTGCCATTTCTCCTATTTTTTAATATTTTTATTTAAAAAGTTTTTTAAATAAAATAAAGATATTAATGTAAATTGCTTTGAATTATTTACTCCTAATTTAGAATAAAAAATTATTCTTAAATATAAAAATATATATATATTTATATTTGAAATATAATTACCTAAAAATAAAGAATTATTAAATTTAGTAGTTTTTTTTTTTTTTGTTAATTTTAAAAAAAATATTTGTTTATGTTTTTTTTTAACTTTTAAAAATTTTAATTTTGCCATACTAAAATTAATTAATATATATATTATAAATAAAAAAGCAGACAGCGAGAATTGAACTCGTATTTTTAACTTGGAAGGCTATTGTTTTACCATTAAACTATGTCTGCGTTATATACATAAAAGTTAAATTTTTTTTAATAAATAATTAATAGTTTCTTTTTGTTTATCTTTAAATATTGAAAATAAATGTGGTGTTTTAAATTTAAAATTAATTATAAGTTCTGAAATAGGTTTTTCTATAAATTGTTCAATTATTCTTTTTAAAGGTCTAGCTCCATATAAAGGATGATATGCTAATTTAGCTAAAATTATTTTTATTTCTTGTGTAATTTCTATTTGTAATAAAATATTATTTTCTTTTAATTTTTGTAATAAATTATTAATAAATTTATCTATAATATTTGTTAAACATACCACACTAAGTGGCTTAAAAACAACTACAGAATCTAATCTATTTAAAAATTCAGGTCTAAAAAATTTTTTTACTGCATTATCTACATTTTTAGATAAAAATTTATATTCTTCTTCGGATAATTCTAGTCCATCTTGAAATGATTTAAATTGTACTACTGATGTAGGACATCCTAAATTACTAGTATATATAATTAATGTATTAGTAAAATCTACTTTCATTCCTTTAGAATCTGTTAAATTACCCTCATCTAATAATTGTAACATAATATTATTAATATCTTTATGTGCTTTTTCTATTTCATCAAATAAAATAACTGAATATGGTTTTTTTTTTACTGCCTCAGTTAATAAACCTCCTTCATCACATCCTACATATCCAGGTGGGGATCCTATTAATTTTGAAATAGAATGTTTTTCCATAAATTCACTCATATCAAATCTAATTAATTCTTTCTCAGATCCAAATAATAAATAAGCTAATGATTTTACTAATTCAGTTTTACCTGTACCACTAGGCCCACATAATAATCAACTTCCTATAGGTTTATTTTTATCTTTTAATCCTGTATAAGTACGCTTTAAAGAAGTAGCAATTTTAGTAACTGCAATATCTTGACCAAAAACATATTTTTTTAAATTTAATTCTATATTACTAATATTAAATATATTAGTTTCTTTTAAAATTAATGAAGTAGGTAATTCACTATATTGTGAAATAATTGTTAAAATTTCTTTTTTAGAAACATATTTATTATTTTTATATTTATGTATAATAGCATCTAAAATTAATAATTCTTTTTTTGGGGAAACATAAGAATTAATAAATTTTTTACTTAAATCAATAATATTTTCTAAAATAGTATCATTTATCCAATAAATATTATTAGTTTTAAGATATTGTTTCATTATTAATAAAGTTATATATTTTGTTGGTTCTTTAATATTTATTTTTGAAAATAAAAATTTTAAATTATTCTCAGTATATAATATTTTATTATATATATTATCTACGCTAGTTCCTATAATTTGAAGTTTATTTAAATATAACATTTTATATATTGTATTTTTTAAATAAGTTATATCTACAGTAGAATTATCAATTAATAAATGAAAATCTTTACAATATAAAATTATATTATTATATTTATTTAAAAATTTAAAAAAAGTTTTTATTAATTCTATATCAGTAGAGTATGTAATTAAATTTGGAATATTTAATTCTAAAAAAATTTTAGTAGGAATTAAAGATGCTATTTTTTTAATTATTATAGATTTTCCAATTCCAGTTTCTCCTAATAATATAATATTTCTATTTAAATCTCGTATTAAAATTTCATTTATGTTTTTTAATTCTTTTTCTCTTCCTATTAAATTAATATTTAAGTCAAGTATATTTAAAATATCTTTTAAATTAGTAGGTATAATTATTTTAGGAAAAAAATATTTAGTATAATTTTTTATTATATTTAAATTATAATTTTGTATATTTAATATATAAAAAATAAAAGAATATATAGTTTTATTTTGTTTTCATAAAAAATAAAATAAAAGTAATGTATTGAAAGGATAAGGTAATGTATTTAAAATATTAAGTATATATAAAATATTAGTATCTATTTTAAAATTTTTATTTAATGAAAAATTATAATTATATAATTTATAATTATAAATTACATTTAATATATTTTTTTTATTTAATAATATATTAGGATTTATATTTAAAATTTTTTGTATTAATTTAGAATTAAATATTAAACTTAAACATAAGTGAATAGGTCTTAAAGTATAATTAGAAGAAGTGATAGAAGTAGTTAATAAAGTTATTTTTTTTGCTTCTTTTAAACAATTAATAACTTCTTGAGTACAATTTAAAAATTGATAATTATTAATAAAAGTATTCATTTAATTTTAATTTATATATTAAAATTTATATTTTAATAAAATATTTGGTTGTTCTTTAAAAAAAGATAAATAAATATTATTATATCTTTTTAAGCAAAGTAAATGTAAACTAGTTAGATTTTGCATTTTATTTTTTTTTATCAAAATTCCTGATAATTCTTTAATAAAATATTTATTTTTATCTTGTGATATTATATATATTGTACATAATGTTTGTTTTTTTAAATTATAATATGACTTATTAAAAGATATATTTCTATTATATGTATATAAACTATAATTATATTTTGATCGATAAAAAAGATTATTATATAATTTTTTTTTTAAAATTAACATTATTTTTTATATAAAATTTATTTAATTGTAATAAATTTAATAGTTTTAAAAGAAAATATATTTAAATAACGATATTGTTTTATTAACTTAATATAATATTTATATTTTTTTTTATATTTTTTATTATTTTTATGTATAATAAAATTAGAAAATTTATTAATTAATTTTAATTTATTTAAATTTGATAAAAAATTAAAATAATTTTGTTTACTCATATTTTATTTTATATTAATATTCATAGATTTTAAAGTTCCTTTTATCATATAAATACATTTTTTAGTTGAAATTGGATAAAATTCTTTTTTTTTTAAATATAAAATTTTTTTTAAATTATTAATAGTAATAAAATTTTTATTAGAAAAAAATAAAATTAAAAAAGATAAAGAAGGTATATGTAAATTTATAGTTAATTTTTTAGGATCAGAAAATATAATTGATACTGGTATTTTTAATCCTAGATATTTTTGTGTTCTATTATTATATTCTTTACAAAAAGCATTAATATTTATACCATATTGTCCTAAAATAGGCCCTATAGGAGGATTAGGAGTAGCTTTTCCAGCAATTAAATTTAATTTAAGTTTAATTAATTTCTTCATATATAATATATTAAATAATAAAATTAAAATAAAATACTCACGTTTTGAAAGAATTGAACTTTCATCTTAGGTTTTGGAGACCTTTATTTTACCCTTAAACTAAAAACGTATTTATTATTTTAAAGAGATAGGAATCGAACCTATGTATAACGAAATCAAAATCCGTTGCCGTACCACTTGGCTACTCTTTATAATATTATAATAAGTTGAGATAGCTCAGTAGGTAGAGCAAAGGACTGAAGATCCTTGTGTCACCAGTTCAATTCTGGTTCTCAACATAAATAATAAATTTAGTTAGAAGAAAGTAATATATAATAAAGTATATATAAATATATTTTTATAGTATCTAATAATATTATATTATATTTAAAATAATTATATATTCTATATAGACGTTTATTTTTTTTAAATTTTAAATTTTTTTTCATTATATTATTATAATTAATTTATTAAATTAGTAATAATACCTGCTCCTATAGTTTTCCCACCTTCTCTTATAGCAAATCTCATTCCTTTTTCTAATGCAATTGAATACATTAAAGTTACTTTTAATTTAATTTTATCTCCCGGTAAAATCATAGCTGGTTTTTCTTTATTAGGACTTTCTATAAATTTAATTGTTCCAGTAACATCTGTTGTATAAAAATAAAATTGTGGTTTATATCCTTCAAAAAATGGTGTTTTTCTACCTCCTTCTGACGCAGAAAGTATATATATATCTGCTTCAAAGTTACAATAAGTTAAAATACTTGAGGGGAGAGCTAATACCATCCCACGTCTTACTTCTTCTTTTTGAATACCTCTTAATAAAATACCTACATTATCTCCTGCCTCTGCTATAGTTAATGTTTTTTGAAACATTTCTATTCCAATTACAGTAGCTATCTTTGATACATTAAATCCTAATATATTTACAGTATCATTAATTTTTATACTTCCTCGTTCTATTTTACCTGTAACTACAGTACCTCGTCCTGTAATTGAAAAAATATCTTCTATAGGTAATAAAAATGGTTTATTTAGGTCTCGTGTAGGCTCTATAATTGATATATCTAAAGCATCTATTAATTCTTTTAAATTATTTACCCATTTATCATTTAAATTATTTTTATTTATAGCTTCTAAAGCTTTTAAAGCAGATCCTTGTATAATTTTAACAGAATTTCCATTAAATTCATAAGTATCTAATAATTCTCTTATTTCTAATTCAACTAATTCTAATAATTCATTATCTTCTACCATATCTACTTTATTTAAAAATACAATTATACTAGGCACTCCTACTTGTTTAGCTAATAATAAATGTTCACGAGTTTGAGGCATAGGTCCGTCTGTAGCAGATACAACTAAAATAGCACCGTCCATTTGTGCGGCACCTGTAATCATATTTTTAATATAATCTGCATGACCTGGACAATCAATATGAGCAAAATGACGTAAAGAAGTTTCATATTCTACATGAGAAGTATTAATTGTAATTCCCCTAGCTTTTTCTTCAGGAGCAGAGTCAATTTCTGAATAACTTTTTGCTTTTGTATTATTTATTTTAGATAAATAAGATGTAATTGCTGCAGTTAATGTAGTTTTTCCATGATCTACATGTCCGATAGTTCCTATATTTAAATGTGTTTTAGTTTTTTTAAAAATTTTTTTTGCCATAATTTATTTTCTTTATTTAATTATTAAAATATTTTATTTTTTTAAAGAAATTAAATATATAAAAATTCTATTAGTTAATGCTTTTTTAATATATTGTTGTTTATAATTATATGCTACTCCTTGTTTTTTTAATACATCATAACATTCTAGATATAATGCTTTTATAAAAGACATTTTATTAAAACTCTTTAATTTAGCAGCTTTTATAAGTCATATTATTGCTAAATTAATTGACTTATAATAATGAGCTATAACAGGAATTTGATATATAATATTACCTATTTTTTTTATTTTAAAAGTAATAGGTATAATTAATTTTAAAATAGCATATAATAATATATTATTATTTTTTGTTAATAATAATAATTGTTTCTTTATCATAATAGATTTTTGTTGTATCCCTGATTTTATAAGTTTTTTTATTAATAAAAAATAAATTAAAGAATTTAAAGAATACATTTAGTATATATATATTAAAATTAATATATTTTAATTAGATTTAGTACCATATTTCGATCTACTATTTTTTCTATTTTTAACACCACAAACATCTAAAGCACCTCTAATAATTTTATATCTAACTCCAGGTAAATCTTGTACTTTTCCTCCTCTAATAAGAACATAATTATGTTCTTGTACAGCATATCCTTCTCCCGGTATATATGCTATAATTTCTTTATTATTAGATAATCTAATTTTTACTACTTTTCGTAGTGCAGAATTAGGTTTTTTAGGTGATCTAGTAAATACTTTTAAACAAATTCCTTTTCTCTGTGGATAATTTTTTAAAATTGATTTTTTAATTCTATTTTTTTTTTTTCTTGAATTTTTTATTAATTGATTTAAAGTTAACATAAATAAATTTATATTAAAATAATTAAATTATATAATTTTAACGTTTTTTTATTTTTTTTTGTCTACATCCATTATGAGGATATTGTGTTATATCTGTAATTGATAATATATGTAATTGTCTATTATTATATTTTGTCTTCATAATAGTATTTAATATAAGTTTTTTAAAAAAATTCATTCCTTTAAAAATTATATGTATATATTTTATATCATTTTGTAATGCATATAATGCACTTTTATTTGCTAAAATACTAGAAGCAAATGGAGTTTCTTTTTTTCTATTTTTAAACCCAAAAAGACCGCAAGAAAATATTTTTAATACTTGTTGGGTAGGTATAATTTTATTATTTTTATTTAAAATTGTCTCTTTACATATCGAAATAAATGTATTATGCATTGTATTTTTTATATAAAAAGTAAGTATATTTGAAGTTTGTTTTTTTACATTCATTTTAATTTAAAAAATATTAATTGTGTTATTTTTGTCTTTGTTTATGTTTAAAATTTTTAGAACAATAAATATATATTTTTTTATGTCTTTTAATAGATATACAATATGTACATAAATGTTTTGGAGCACTTTTTATTTTCATATTATAAATTTAAAATTAAAGATAATATATTATATATATTATTTAATTTAATAAGTTTAGAATAAATAATATCATATCCAATAAAATTAAATAATACTCTAATTACATAATGTCTAGACATATGTATTTTACGAATAGAAGAAAATAAATATAATTTTTTAATTTTTTTTTCTATATATATATTATTTGTAATTTTATTTGAATAAAATAATGGAAAATGATAAATATTTTTAAATGCATGTAAACGAGCATTTGAAATAGCTTCTTGTAAATAAAAATGTTTACTATATCCTATACCAAATCATCCTGTTTTATTTCCTAATATTAATATTACTTTATATTTATTTATTCTTCCTTTTGCTCTAGTTTTAGATATTTTTTTAATTAATAATATTTTTTGTTCTATACTATAATTATATTTTTTATTAAATTTAAAAATCAATTCTTTTTTTCATGATATTAATTCTAATATATATATAGTATGATATATATTATTAAATATATATTTATTATTACTATAATATATTATATATTTAACTGCAAGTATATTTAATAAATAAATAAAATTTTTAATTATATATATTGAAAAATTAGTGTAAATTTTTATATATTCTTTAATTAAATAAGAAAAAAAAATAAAATCATTATATAATTTTATAGAATATAATAAATTTGGTTGCTTAAATAATTTAATTTTAAATTTTTTATTCAAAAAAATCATTTATTATTTTTTAATATTTTTTGTTTTACTTAATTTTAATTTTATTTGATCAAAAATATTTTTTATTCCTTTTCCTTTATATACATTTAATTTTTTACAAGATTTAATAATATAAAATATATTACCTAACATATATTTATTTGAATATATTAAAATTAATAATTTATTTTTTTCATCAATATATATACTACATGTCTTAGGAAGTTTAAGTTTAATTAAATGACTATAACCTAAAATAAAATATAAATTTTTATTTATAAATAAAAATTTATATCCTATTCCTCTAAATTCGATAGATAATTTATATGTAGTATAAAATAAATATAATTTATAATTTAATATTTTATATAAAGTATTTAAAATGTTTTTTTCTTTAGAAAATAAATATAAAGAAAAAAATAAAGGAAAATTTATTATTTTTTTTGATAAAAATAATACTTTATATTTTGTATTATATAATATATTTATATATATTAATTGTGTTTTTTTATCAAATATTGAAAAAAATTTAATTAATTTATTAAATATAATTAATCGTTTATAAATTGTCATTTTTTTAATTAGAATAATAGATTAAACAAAATAAAATACCTCCTTGTTTTAATTTAAGTGCTTGGTATCTAGAAAAGATACCTTTAGATGTGAAAATAATTGCATCTTTTATTTTTAATTTTTGTAATTGCATGTATGTAATATTATTTTTTTTATTTTTTAAATTAAAAAATTTAAATTTTAAATTTTTTTTTTTATAATATATATATATTAAAATTCAATTATTAAGTATATATATAGATTTAATACAATAATTTTTTAATAATAAAAGAATTAAATATGTTATTTTTGTATAAGGTATAATAAAATATGTTTTATATATTTTTATATTATTAATTAAGCTATTTATATTTTGTATAATATTCATACTATTAAATTAAATCTATTGTTAATGAATGTAATTTTAAACAATTTTTTTGTTTTAAATATTTAGGTACAGATCCAAATATACGAGATCCAATAGGATTTAAATTTTTATCTACTAAAACTACAGCATTATCATTAAAAGATATATTATATTTTTTATTAATAGATATATTTTTTTTTAACCTAATAACAATACCATATACTATAGTAGAATGTATTAATTTACTTGTTGTATTAATTTTTTTAATAACTCCTACAATTAAATCTCCTACGTTTATTAATTTAGTTTTTTTAGTTAAATTTTGTATACATAATATTTTTTTTACTCCACTATTATCTGTAATATTAAAATAAGTATTTATTTTAGTCATATATTTAAATTTTATTTATAATATATATTTTATTTTTCTTTAAATTAAAAAAAATAATATCTCCTTTATTATATTCTTGTCTATAATTTAATATATAATATTTTTTTAATTTTATTTGTATTTTTTTATATTTAATATGAGTAATATGATATGGTATTATTAAAATAGCATAATAAGTATTAGATTTTAAAATAAACCCTAATTTATTCATTTTTTAATTAATATTAATTAATCTTATTTTTATAGGTAATTTAGTATTAAATATTTTAAAAATAGAAAATATTATATTTACTGGAATATTATAAAACTCTAAAAAAATAAAACCTGGTTTTAAAAAATATTGTGTATCGTATATAGAACCTTTTCCTCCGCCCATTCTAGTATCTAAAGGTTTTTTAGTTTGTATTCTATTAATAGTAATATTTAATTTATAGCATTTAATTTTTTTAATATTTTTTTGTAAATATTGTTTTATAAAATTAATATGTTTATTAGATAAAGTTCCATATTTAATATTTTGAATTGCTCAAATTCCATATATACATTTATGAAAATTTATTCCTTTATATTTTATATTTTTAGTAAATATAAATTTTTTCATTTAATTTAATTTAAAAATAATCATATTTTAACACCTAATAATCCGTATTTAGTAGGAATACTAATACAATTATATTTTATATATAAATTTTTATTTTGTAAAGAACTTTCATTAAATTTAAATGTTTCTAATTTTGCCATTTGAGCTCCATTTATTCTACCTGAAATTATACATTTAAACCCTTTTATTTTATGTATATTATTTATTAATAATATAAGTTGTGGAATAATTTTTCGTAAAGAAATTTTAGTAAATAGAATTTTATTAGTTAAATATTTTAAAATAAAATTAGTAGATAATAATGGATATTTTAAACATACAAAATTAAATCCAATTTTAATATGTTTAGTATAATTCTTTTTTAAAAAATTTAAAAAATATAATTGAATATAATATTTATTATTTATATAATTTAATTTAGAAAATAATATTATATTATATATGCAATAATTAGTATAAGAATAATTATTATTTATATATAAAATATTTAATTGCTTTTTAAATTTAATAAATCTTTTTAAATTTAAAAAATAATTTATATTTTTATAAATGTATCTATAATTATTTCATATATTATTATAATATGGAAAATTTTTTGAACGAAAAATTAAAGCATTTACTATTTGTCCCATAATATTATTTAATTTTTTATTAAAGTATTTAATTTAATATTAAATTCTGAATAAGAAAATTTATTTTTCTTTTTAAAAATAAATTTTTTTAATCTAAATCCTATTTTTTTTTTATTAATATTAATAGGTATATACTTTTTTCCATTATATACTTCTATTATTTTCCATAGAAATAAAGGTATTATTATAGTTAAATTATAATTAGTTTTAAAATGTTTACTATTTAATTTAGATATACGTAATACATCTTTTGAAATATATATTCGTTTATAATATATTTTTATCATATTTCTATTTTTTTAAAATTAATTTCATACTATATTTATTATTTTTTCTAGTTTTAACACCTCGTGAAATAACTCCCCAAGGTGAATATGCAGAACAACGACCTATAGAATTTTTTCCTTCTCCTCCTCCATGAGGATGATCGCATGCATTCATAGCAACTCCACGAACTTTAGGACGTTTTCCTAAATTTCTAGAATCTCCAGCCTTAATTTTTTTTAAATTAAGTAATATTAAATTAAGTTCCCCTAAAATACAAAAAACATTTTTATCTAATAATCTAATTTCACCTGAAGGTAATTTAATTGTAGCATACTTTTTTCCTATATAAATTAAAAAGGCACTAATTTTAGAATTTTTAACAAAAATTGCTCCTTTAGTAGGTAAATGCTCAATATTATGAATTCAACTGCCGCAAAGTATATTTTTTATAGGCATAATATTACCAAATTTTAAAGGAATTGTATATCCTATATATATAATATCTCCTTCTTTTGTATTTTTTGTAATTGGAAAATATTTATATTGAGTTTGTAAAATACTATTTAAACATATTACTTTATAAATATATCTTTGTAATTTAATATCTATTACTTTTTTAATAATTTGTACTTTAAGTATTTTATTATTAAAATTTAATATATTTTTTTTAAAAATATAATTATAATTTATATTTTTTAATTGAATATTTTTAATAAATAATCCTTGTTTATTTCTTATAGTAATATGTCCTTTATTATTTCTTCCGTAAACTCTAGTTAAAATATATTTATTTCGTTTACAATATATATACATTTTATAAATAATTTTTATTAAATTAAAAATATTATATAATTAAAATTAATAAAAGTAAAAAAATTTAATAATTTAATATCTATTAAATTATAATTTTTTTTTATATATGTTATATTATTACATAAAATATATATTAATTTATTATAAAATAATCCTTTTATTCTTTTTTGTTTATTTAAATATTCATTAATATTTTCAAAAGTATATAATATAGGTGAAATAAATATAAAAGAAATATAAGTTCGTTTATTTAAAAGTAGATAAAAAAAAGTTATTTTTTTTTTTTTAGTTTGTAACTTAATATCTATTATTTTATTTATTGGTCCAAATAATTTACTACCTCCTCTCCATAAAGGAGATTTAAATGAACCTGCACGTGCTCTTCCTAATCCTTTTTGTTGCCAAGGTTTTTTAGTAGATTTAGATAATTTATTTCTAGTTATAATATTATTTTTTTTAATACGATGTATTATGTTTATTAAAATATAATAAGTATTATTTAAATATTTAATAAAATTAAAAAAAGAAATATTATACTTATTAAAATAAATATATTTTATATTAAAATATTTATTTTTATAAAATAAATATTCAAGATTAAATAAATTTAAAGGATATATAAAATTTAATTTATGTGATATAAAAAAATTATTCATAATATATATATTAATGTATAATAATACTATATTAAATTTTCGGAATAATAGGATTTGAACCTATGACTTTCTATTCCCAAAATAGAGGCGCTACCTGACTACGCTATATTCCGTATATAACTATATAATAGTACCCTCAAAGGAATTTGAATCCTCGTTTTCTTCCTGAAAAAAAGATGTCCTAGACCACTAGACGATAAGGGCTTTTAAAATATTCTCTATATAAATAGAATAGGGTTGTTAGCTTAATGGTAGAGTACTCGGCTTTTAACCGAAAGGTTCTGGGTTCAATTCCCAGACAACCCATATATATAATTACGGAAATAACGAGACTTGAACTCGCATCATCACCGCGACAGGGTGTTATTTTATCCTAATTAAAACTATATTTCCTATATCTAGGAGAGAAAGGGATTTGAACCCTTGTATATAATATATATGTCAAATTAGCAATTTGATACTTTAAACCACTCAGTCACCTCTCCTTTTTTTATTTAAAAAAAAATGAATTGAATCAGATTTGAACTGATGGAGATAAAATTATCGACGGAGTTACAGTCCGCTCCTATAGACCGCTCAGGCATCAATTCTTTTTATAATATACCTGAAAAGAATTGAACTTTTGAAAAATGGATTATGAGCCCACCGCTTTTACCACTCAGCCACAGGTACTTATTTTATATAAAAAAATTAAGGTAAGGATGAAGGGACTTGAACCCTTAAAGTTTTTTAAAACTTACGGATTTTAAGTCCGTTGTGTTTACCAAATTTCACCACATCCTCAATAATTAGTAGTAGATAGTACTCAGAGTTGAACTGAGATAAAAAGATTTGCAATCTTTTGCTATACCTTTAAGCTATACTATCAATGGGGTAAATGACGGGAATTGAACCCGCTTTAAATAAATTCACAATTTATTGTCTTTACCATTTGACTTCATTTACCTTTTTTATTAATTAAAAATTATATATATATAATTTTAATGTAAATAATATTGTATTATTAATAAATTATTATAACTATTAAAAGTATAATTATTTATTTGTGAATAAAAAATACTTAAACATGTTTTTTTACATATATATACATTTAAATTACATTTAATAGTTTTAATATATTTTATATATAAATTTTTTTTACATAATTTAAATATAAAACTAGATTTAGAAGATAAACTAATTATATCACCAATTTTAATTAAAAAGCTAGGATTTGTAATTAATTTAAAATTAACAAAAAAATATCCATGTACTATTAATTGTCTTGCCTGTGCTATAGTAATAGAATATCCTATATTAAAAAGTATTTTATCTAAACGTGCCTCAATAATAGTAGATATATTAAATTTTTTATAATTATATTTATGTATAAATAAGATATATTTTTTAATTAATTTTTCAGTTAATGAGAAAGTAAATTTTAATTTTTGCTTTTCAAGTAATTCTAATAAATAAAAAGATATAATTGCTTTATTATTTTTTATAAAATTTTTATTTAAAATAGAATATTTAGTTGAAAA